GTGACAATTTAAAAAAATAAGTGAGGAAATTTTGAAAAGTACAAGTTTCAAAAGGGCACACTTCTTTCTGAAATGTATTGATTTTTATGTAGAACGTTTTTCTTGTAATTTTATCAGATTTTCCCAGGGCCTGCCTAACATAGATGGCCTTTGACCTTAACCAGCGAACGACGGTGTGAACATCACTCGACCATACACAGAATATTATTCCCTTGATTTAAGAAAACTAATTAGCTTATACATAAATACATCTGATGAGTTTTAAGTTCTATTCAAACTGGGAGTTAGTAGAAAAGCAGCATATAAAATTCACTGCAGTGGATAAACATGACTGACGACTAAATGATTCTCTGAAACTAAATGATTCTCTAAAAAAACCACAAGAACTACCGTAAAGGGACTGTTCTAAAAGGACGGCCTGTTTACTTCCAATTTATGAGTTAAAGTGGTTATTTAAAGCCAACCCTTGTTTTAAATTGTCGAGAATGCTCAACCAATGCCAGCAGAAAACTATCAATATGTAGCTAGATTGACATAAATGTAGGATACTAGGAACTCAGCTGAATGCTGATGTAGAGAATTGCAGAGATCGACTGATTGTCGCTGGATTAGCCACTGTCACTATCAGCAGCCCTAGTACAAATGTAGGTCCACCCTATGCATGAAAACTATGAGCAACAAGTAAACGTTCATCTACATAATTTCCTAATGATGAAAATAGCTTTGCGTACTGAAAGCACATGCAGGTTGCTAGAGATCAGATGCATTACCTCAATTTGAACGGCATTGATAAATTCTGTCAGACAAAGCCTAAATTGAAACTCAACAAAAACTAAGTGCATTCCACCTACATGTACATGTACTTCAAAACCTACTTTTTCTGACAGCTATTATTTTTTTAGCACCAATCTAATACCTACTAAAATGTAGACTTGAACTCACCACTTATATTTCCCTTAAAAAAACCCAATACAACAAGTAAGGACATGATGATAATGATCATAGAATTTGACTCACATCGAAGGGAAAAACATGGGGTAACGCTTTCAATAAAGGAAACAAAGTTTCCTCCTAAATTTTTAACGCAGTACAAAATCCAACTAGATTTTTTCACCAACAGCTTGTTACCTCTCAACAAAGCCTAAACATTTTCAATAACTTGTTTGACATGTCCTGACGACAGCCCCTAAAATCTATACATGTACATGTAAAGTGCAATGCTTCTGCACGTATCTGACAGAACAGTTAGGTGATCAGCTATAATAGCAAGACTGGCTGAATTTAATGTACGTCAAAGATGACATCTAAATTACAATCCTGAAACTGAATTTATTTGCCTAGCTAAACTGACTGGTTACTAACCATCCACTGCTAATTTTCCGCACTTTTAGTGATTTGGAACAAAATGACCATGACCATACCCTCACTAAATATTTGCCTTTAATTTTAACACAAAAAAAGAGATGATTTAAGTTGACTTTACAGTGTCACAAATACTTGCTTTACGGCAAGATTATTGACAATTAAACCAAGCATGGAGCGTGATGGTCTTCAGTCTATGGCAATACTGATTGTAATGTCCTTGAGTTCTTCACCTTCATTTGTGTTATCATAGCCCTTTGCTGGAGTTTCAATGCAAAAATAAGCAAAAATTGTTTGCGCACTAAACAATAATTCACTTGTTCTCCTCTGAAGTTCTTGAGATGGAAGATAACCATGATAGTAGTGCAAAATGGAATGCTGTCTCCAAAATGTTAAATTAGGTTCTATTTTTTTTTATATTGCACTGATATAACATCTTTGATTTGGAAGAAGTTTTTTCTAGTTCACAGTTGAAACAAGATGAAGGTGAAAAACATCAAGGACACTACAAGATTTTCACGTTTATTCTCAAAAGATGACATGAACAAGGCATTGATAAATTTGGGTTTTTTTATGCAGACAGAAAGTGGATTGTATTTGAAATTTTTCCTACAAAGTATTCGGCACTGATACTTTATCAATGATTGGCGAAATCAGTTTGCAAACCACATCGTGGATCACTTTTAGAGCCAAACATGGATATGCTTTTTTATCAACTCTCTTTGTAGCCAGCGATAAATCTTGAGCCTTTTGACTGTTTGATCATCACAGTGAATGATGTGGTGGGGCAAATTGCCATCTTACAACTCCATGCATGAGGAGTACATTTGGACATCACTTTACACACAGAGTGTATTGTCAGTAAGATGTCATGATATCATGCCCAATATTAACGAAGGAAGCAGCTTTTGCTTTTGTCTCTCAAATAGGTCACTGTGTTAGGTATCCTCTCTTCATCCACTTCAAACTGGGCATGCATAAAGGCAGTGCCTGCTGAAACTGTGGATTTACTGAGGATACTGGCCTTGCAGATTCATAGTCCATTGACTTTGTTCTACAGCCTTGAGCATCAAACTTCAGTCTCCACACTTCACACTTTGTAGGCATTCTTAAATTTACCCAGATAACTTGGAGGGATAGAATGCTTCAAAAATTCAAAATAGTAGCATTTACAAGCAGTGAGCCTCGAGTAAAATGCCTTAAAATTCAGATCAATGCCTTGATAAAGTTTGCTTAACGCTGCATATTGATGACCTTTAAAAAAAAAAAAAAAGGACAAGAAAAATATAATCCAACAGTTTAATACAAAAAAGAGTGGCATAGCTAGGTTTTGGGGAGGGGGTCTCAAATGAAACAGGTCATGATCTCCACATTTTGTTCGACTTGAAGTTTTGGAGCTATTGTATCTGTTATCTCTATGGTTATGCAAGAATAAGAGCTGCCAAGAATATGATGGATTCCCTGGAAAGTACATGCACAATGTGTACCACACATTTTCAGGCAATTTATCCCTCTTTATGTCTGACTGAGGGGTCGATTGAGCACATTGCAAGACTCAAAAGGTATAGTTCATGTCTGAACCACTGACAATTCCAAAAATACATACATGTACATGTACATGTATCATTTCGAAACAATTCTGATATTGCAACTTTCTTGTAATTTTAGTTGCTCGTCATTCCAGGATAAACAAAAAACTGTGAGACTTTTCGTTGTCTCAGATTAATTAACTTGCCTTTCGACGCAAGCAATTTGCCCAGTTCTGCATACTGCATCGAGCACAATCAAATACTCCCACATTTCATTTTAGAAGACCTGTATAAATGGAGTAGAGTATATGCTCATTCGGAATAGACGGAAAGGCTGCTTGAAATGTAGTAGCAACTTTGAAATTTTGATTTGGTGTGGTGGAGGGAGGATTCAAACAAGCACTAACTACAGCAATTGCCATTTCATGCCCCCTCCCCCATTAGCTATGCCACTGTGTATTGCCATAGAATCAAGACCATCTGTACATACTGCCTTGTTTTATGCAGACTACACCATACTCCTAGCCATGAGATACACAGTTGGGTTTAACAAGCAACACATGAGGATGTACCAGTGCATGAATTCATTCTACAAACTTCAATTAAACTCACCATGGAAATTGTTGACAGGACTGGCTCCCCGTGTCTGATGTCACGGTTTCTGTTTAGGATACTGAGAGACAGATTGGTATCCAATCTCCCAGGCCATTCACTCCAATTTATTGAGGGGCACACACATTCATTCCAAATTGTCACCAGAAAATATTCTCCATGTGGTTAAGCCTCCATGTTTTACAAGGAGCTTTTAAGAGGAAACATTTTTTTTTGGTCATGAAGAACTAAGGAATCTCCATCATGAAAACCACTTAAAGATTGGAACACAGCTAGTGAACTTGTGGTTTTAATTTCAGTAAGGTTTGACCATTTACAATCATAATGTACATGTACACATATAATCAAGAGTGTACTGATTTTTGACAGTAACTGTCAATTGTCAAAAATATTTCAAGTAATTTGCAATATATTTTGCAGATATGGAGGTTTTTACTCCTGATTCAGAACTCAGTGAATCACAATCTTCCAAAATTCCTCTCCGTTTCCTTTCTTCCATTTCTTTGTCTTTATAATTTGGATTGTGAATGAGTGTTTGCCCCTCTATGGTATGAGTGAATGGCCTGGATACATCATCCACCCAGCAATCTAACAGCACGGTTCTCCCTCTCTGCACACCAGGCACTTCTTTAGTGCAGTTTCAAGAGCTTGTTTTTTAAAGTGGAACTTCTTTTCTGGTTTTCCATGCTTGCCTTTCTTTATAATTTAGTGGCTAAATAGTGAAAATGATGATGGCACAGGCACCAGGCCCACTTGGCCTTTCGTACTTTTCAAGAAAAGTATTTTTTTTGGAAATCCTTTTTTTCCCAAAGGTTAGATTTCTTCAACAGCAAATTTTGTTTGCCACTATTTTTCTTTTGAGACTGAAATATTTTCAGTTTTCAATTGTTTTCAACGATCGCAACACTTTTTATTTGAAACTCAGATGTAGAGATTTTTTTTTTTTGTAATCTCATAATAAGGGTTCTGCCTTTTAGTTTTCAAACTCTCAAATGTTATTTGGCAGTACACAGACTGCAACTGCAAGACTTGACTTGGTTTTGGGATTATGTTTTTATGCATGCTACCAAACTCGATGATTGCCAAACTTTGCAAGTGCTAAATCAATTTTTTTAAACAGTAAACCTATATTATTCTTTGCTTTCAGCCTAAATTTTGCTGCTTCAAATTGAGAATATATTTGTTTCACCACCTCTGGTGGCTTTATTAGAGAACCAGCAATGAAATGTGTAAATAACAATGGAACAGCATTGATTTAAGAGTTACTCTGGAGATTTTCACAATAAATAAGACCAACACAATTGCCCTAGTATCATACGACACTATAAAATATCCAAGAAAACCTACAAAATTCACCATTTGAAAATCTTTTATTTTCATGGATCTCAGAACATGATGCCCAAGGAACTCTCTGAATGTCAAGTGAGCAATATCGGAGTAGGTACAGAAGTGTTCTCTTGAGTTGCCATTCCTGGAGTAGTGGACATGTACATCTGCTTTGTAGACAAACTAACCAATTGCCAAAGTTTAAAGGATCCTTACCATGTTGCAGTCTTCCGAGGTATCCACAATCACCCAGGGTGCAAGATTTCGAGGGAGCTGCATACATCACCAACAGTCAATTCACAAGCCGATGCAGATAGCGGGCAACCACCAACCTGTCAGCGTCTGCGGGCAGGGGACACACGTGCACGCACCAGGAGGGCCTGCATGTGGCTGGGCTTTATTGGTTTTTATTTACAGTGCCTGATGGTAAAAGACAATAATGCAAAAAAGGTTAATCAATTGATTTTTCCAAAATAAATGTTGCAAGTACATGTATAATCAGCACTGAGATACAATTGTGCCTGCGCTTACTTTGACCAGAATACTATATTTTTAAACTTTTGATTTTAAATGAAGAAAAGTTTCAACGCGGCAAAATCACCAAAATTGAACTCATCAATGCAGTATTAAAGCAAAAGACACGCCAAGTTTTTCAAACTCCATGTAGCAGCCTGTGATTAATATATAGCCATGCTTGTTTTGCATGGGTTGAATGATCTGATGGAAATCTTACATTTCTTGTACACTGTTTCCAAATGCGATCAGCTGTTTTCAGCATTAGACTTTTTGAACTCTAATTCAAATTCCTGAGCATCAGGGCTGATAATACACGTACATTTCAAACCAGGTGCAAGATGGGTAAAAACTTTAATATGAAGATTACATGTACTTTTTTTGTAGTACATTTAGCCAAATAAAATTTAACACCAACAAAAGACGTACTTTGCACTGACCTAGCAAATGTCTTAAACTGACCGCAATAGGATTCACAAACTGACTTTTTGTTGTCCAAAGAAGCAAATTACTTTGATTTTTTTCAATTATTTTAAATTTTTTAAGGTGATTTCAATGCTTGAGTTAAAATTGAACGTATCGCCATTTCAGGGGAAAAAACGAAAAAATCTTCAATTTCAAGAGACTTTCAATAGGAAAATATTTTGTCTTAAGTGTGTTCACTTGGAAGTGACGTCAATTACCCATCATGCACCTGGCTTTAAAGCATTTACCATTCAGGCACTGAATTTAAAATCAAATTACATGTAAATAAATGATGTAACCAGCCCTCACATTATAATGCATTATATGACATGTACATTTTTCAGTGAGAAAAGTGCGCTTGCAGTCAAACTTGAAATACACATCAACGAAAAGTGTGCATTTTTTCGGATCAGATGAACTTTCCCTCACGATTAAAAAAAAAGTGCTTTGCTGTTTTGGATAAAATTAAAACAAGGTATATTTGAGCAAAAATGACATGCTTTTGAACCCCAAGCAATAAGCCAAAATAACATGATTTTGTATTGCTGTCAATACTCATTGATTCTCTATGCACAATTACAAGATGTTCCGAGTTTCAAAGGTTGAATTTCAGAAAATAGTACCGACTTTCTCTTGGTTATCCTTTTTGAATATATTGCCTTTTATCTTCAATCTTTATAGACTGGCTACACGTGAGGACTGGTTACAAATGTTCAAGTCCATTCTGACGAAGAGCTGAAAACAATATTAGATGCCTTGATGTTTCACCCATTTGCAATTGTCAGCTTAGTACAGGAGTGTGAGTGACCGATGATAAAAAAAGAAGCTGTAAACAGCTGAAAAAGGCATAAAATGATGAACTGTGGAAATCTCCTATACTTCTGTACACAGCAAGTGAGGAAAAATGCTGAAATCCAAAACAAAAATGCCGAAATCAGCTAAAAAGCTGATATTTTACACCCCTATTAAAAGGTCCTTGAACAGTTAAACCATTCAAAAGTGATTGACAATTTTTGTCTGCCTGTGTACCTCTTGATCTTAGATGAATACGTTTTAGACCACTTTGCTGACAAAAAAGTAGCTACGACCTTTAAGAGCTCCGTCATCAAAATGGACTTGTTACTCTCACCCGATTCCCACCCTCAACCCTTTTTTTTCAGTGGCGTAGCTTTGATTACAAAGATGAGAATGCAAAATGCCAACTACACACATTGTAAGGTGGAAACTTAATGCGAACCAAGAATGATTGATTCTCACCATGTATCACAAGTGACATCCAACGTGAACCTAGCCACTGAAAAAAAAACAATTTTTTTTGTGATGACTCCTTTTCAAAAAAAAAATCAACAAGATCTTGGTTTGGTCAACTTTGAATTTTTTTCTAGATGGAACTAGAGGCTTACATTCAAGACATTTCTATCCGAAATGGTTAAATATTGAGTTTTGAGCGCTAATAGTTTTTACTTCCATGAAGGAAAAAAAGAGCTACGCCACTGATTATATCCCAACCCAATTTTCTAAACTTGGTTCTCTGCGACTTTCAAGTTAAATTGTGCATCAGCCGTTCAAGTCCTTGGCAATTTCAGTCAATATTGGAGCACTCTGGTACACAATCCATTGCAAAGTCAAGATATCCAGGGCTGAAGTACACTTCTTGCAGGATTAGCTTGTAGCTTCTTGGAGTGCACATGCACGTATGGTTCAGTCTGTAAAATGTTCAGATGGGAAGCATATCCACAGAGTTCACAATGAATCAGAAGCACTCCTGAGCGGTTTCAGTGATTCATGGCAGGGTGAGTCACAGAGTCTACCAACAGCATTTGAATTTGACACGAGTAGCCTTGTAGACTATGCTCCAGGCTCACCATCCACAAATGTACCAACAGTTTGTTTCTATAGTCAGTAACTCATGTCCTGTGCAATGTCCTGAGAGATACATCAGCAAAAGTTCCACATGATGATGCAAGCAGAGCCTGACGAGATGACAGAACTGAGTCCGTGATTGGGGTAAAACCTGTCTCCAGCTGTCTCTTGAATGGAGGAAGTCCATGGTCGACCCCATTGGAGAAATGAATAATGTGTTTATTCTATAGTCGGTATCTCTCTGTGAAATGTTCCACATGATGATGCCAGGCAGAGCCTGATGAGATGAACCAGGTTGATGATTGGAGTGTAACCTGTTTCCAGCAGTCTTGTCAAAGGGGGAAGTTCGCAGAACACCCTAACAAGAGAAAACAAACAGAAAGCTTTTGTCAAGACCATGTTCCATGTATCTCATGCTGTTTTTAAACTGTATATTTTCTGCATGAATTCACCAACTTGTTTTCAGGGGTTGAACTCAAGAAAAAAGGTTCACCTCCGCTCACTTTATGTGGATACAGGAATAGCCTGCCCAGCACAGGCACAGTGATTTGCAACAAGTCACAAACACAGAAAATAAAACATAAGAAAAAACGAAGCTGCAGAGGTAGGTTCAATGTAAGGTAGTGAACAAAGAGAATGAATAAAATTGGTTAAATTGGTGATTCTAAAGACCTATGTTTGTTTTCATCGTCTTTTAAAAAAAACCACCATAGCATTTTGCTCAAACCCTTTACGAATCTACATGTACAAACTTCTATATGTACAAAATGTATGTAGCACTCTTTAGGAACAGTGGTTGGGATCAACAGAGTCCTTAATCTTTACCTCTGTTGATTCTTACCGGTCTGGGGATTTTGATAAAATCAGGGAAAAATAAGACTAATGGGCAATTCCACGGTAACGGAAGGACGTTTTCACTCATTAAACAAAATTTCAAATGTGTGTATCACAGACACTGTTCATAGTTACAGCAAACAAATGTCACAATTGTATTGCTATAATGCTACTTTCATTTTCCACACTTTTGGGGGGCATGAATGCCTCCCGTTTATGAATTATGAATATTAATGAGGTCGGTAACGGAAGGACGGTAAAACGGACAAGGGTTTTCCAACTTACTCGCATTTTGCGTAAACTCTGTGAATTTTATGGGGCAATTATATTTTAAAGGTAAGAAATGGAATCCCTGAAGCTTTATCTATACTATACCGCCTTTCATTTGACTGTAAGTGTTTCGGTAATATAATTACAACGTTTTAAGCAGATTATGATTTGGTAACGGAAGGACGGTAACGGAAGGACAAAAGGTTTACTCAATTATAGCATGAACAAAATGTGAATTTACACTAATTATACAAGTGAAACAAATTGCTGAAATGTGTAACTGAATGAGAAACCAACAATATGCAGACCTGGCATAAATAATTATACCCAAGAAACTATTGAGATAAAGATAGAAGCCTGCTAATTAATGATAACAAAAGAAAAACGAAAACCACCCAAAACACATAATTCACGAACACAAGACAACTACAGAAATGGACTTCAAACCCGTCACCTCAATCCTTAAAAGTTTAAATACACAGTTTTTGAGCACTTGAGTATATTGGTGACATGTTCACCAACAACTTTTAATAATAATACCGGTAGGTTCAGTGGTTTACCTAAAGAGTGGGGGGGGGGGGGGGGGGCGACCAGCCTACATGTACATTTAAGGTAAAAACATCTACCGGTAGAACTGATTGCTTCAGTTAGGTGTTGCTTTTAATTGAACTCTAAAATCATTGTTTGAAATCAAATTACAATGATTTAGAGTAGTAACAATTAATTTACAAACATCCAAACTGAAATTGTTAACTTGGGCATAATTTGTCAAAGATTGCACCTCACATGTCTTACACATGTAAATTGAATGAAAGTGCCCCAAAGTACCGGTACTTTCTGCCATCTCATTTTTGACTTAATCTGCTTCTGGAATGGCTTCACAGAATTTGTATCTTTCTCTATTGTCCATGAATGGTGATGGCAGCAACTTTATGATTTGATTTTCTGCAACAACTCCATACATACAAGTACTGGTACGTCAGCATATAAATGTATTCACATGTACATTGTACATGTTGTACATGCCTGTGCTTTCCTTTGTAATAAACACCTTGCCCTGCTTATCCCGCTTTTGTGAAGGTGGGTCACATGAATGTCCTTTCAATGCTCATTATACATGCATGTATTTGCAGTGATTTTCATTTTTCAAACATGAGCGCAAATGTCGTAACATTTGATAAAAATACGATTTGTCCTTCCGTTACCGTCCTTCCGTTACCAATTTGGTAACGGAAGGACGTGATTTAATTAATTGTAATTAAAAAACGAGAAGTACAGCAGTGTCAGTTATAATGTCATATTGAAGGCCTACCTAAACTTGCTTTACACAATAACTTTCAATGCATTCATACTGCAAGTTTTAAAAATAAATTAAAAATATGTATTTTTTCGGTAACGGAAGGACATTTTCGAAGGCTGAAATATTAGAAGTCACTGAAGCGAAGCAAATTACGCAAAATGTTAAAAACAAGTTTTAGTCGGTTTTTCAAGACCAGTACTTTCTCATGACAGAAACTGATGGCATTAGTACATATTTTTGTGTGTGTTTTGGTAGAATACTTTCATATCACTATTAATCACATTTTTAGGATTAAAACAGGATTATTACATAATCCTATTTTTTGGTACCGAAATGTATAAAAAATAAAATTCCGACTTCAAATCTTGAAAATATAGACTTTTAGCTTTCATTTGATGCCAAATTTGTTTAAGTCACATGTATTTGAATTTTTTGGTGTCATGTCCACTTTGGTGTGGAATTGCCCTAATGGCATGCTCTGGCAGGCCTTGGATGACATCATAATTGTACTTGCAAAGACTAAAACTGTCTTCAATTACATCGTAGTTCCAAATCCAAAGCAAATTAAATAATTCCTATGCAAAAGGTTAAACTCAGATAGTATAAGATTGTGTACTGGAGCAGGGTTCTAGCCAGGATGAATTTAAAGGATAGGGGCTAGCGGCGAAGGATCCTGCGAGCGCGAAGCCCTTACGGTGTGGGGTGCGGGGCCCGCTCAAGGGCCCCGAATTTTTTTGACATTCTAGATGCTCTGTGGTGCAATCTAAGGCCATTTGGAAGCATATTTTATGATCGGAAAAAGAGCGAAACCCCTAAGTTACAGAATGCTGCAGAAAGTGGGCCTGTTGAATTTTGGGTGTTTTTTTTTTAAAATTATTTCAATTACAAGTAAAACTAGAGGGTCGCGTTTGTTGTTACAAACGCAGAGTGGTCGGGTAGACAAGCATTTCATTCGACATTTTCCAATTAAGTTATGAATATGTTTATGTCAGAAAAAAAGGACCAAAAACTTCAACATTTCCAGTACCAATTATTTTGTATAAAAAGAATGTGTTTTTTTAAGGTATCATAAATTTCAGTTAACAGTTAGCAACACGTAAGTTATTTCCGGTTTGATGGCGTCATCAGTCAAAATAGGGAAGGGAGGACACTTGTTTATTATTTAGTAAAAATAACGCATGGAAATATGGAAATTAAGTGTATGTAATAATAACAGATAACTTCCGGTTTGATGACGTCACAGTATTTGGAAGCAAAAGGTCAATATTAAGTGTAACAGATGTCATTTTTGGGGGGCAAAAAAGTCATGAGACAGAGATCAAGCGATGGATTTAAATTCAAAATAAAATGATCATTGTTGAATTCTCCCTACAGTAACTTCCGGTCTGATGATGTCATGATTATGAAACCTTGCAAATTCATTTGTGGTTGCATAAGGGGATATATAGGGGCAATATATGGTAAAAATTTGATTGAGGGTTGTAACATTTTAAAAGATTAAACGGTTTTCAATGTGCTGCTAGAGGGTGCCCTTTAGTGGGATGACGTCAAATTATGTTTTTTGTGATTGGCATTCCTCACTTAACTCTTCCATAATATATTTGTCTGTAGTAAAATGCTTCCGTTTTAGAGTTAGATTCAGTTTCTATTGCACTTCCGGTAACACCGGAAGTAAAGGTCAAGCAGTTTTGTGCCCGGGAATAAGAAATGTTGTTCAAGGCACCGTCTACAACCTCACGAAAAAACGAACACGATACTCTATTTAGTTCAATAGATATAGGTCAAAGTATTTTGTCAAATCGTGCAATCAAATCGCTTGTAATTCGATACCTGATGACGTCATGATGACGTAACAACATTTATAAAATTTTCGTAACATGGTACAAGTTCACACTAGGTTTTATGATCATACCGTAAACCGTTCGGAAGAAATTGTGCTTTTTTTTCGATTTCAGGCTAATGTCTTCATTTTGAATTCACCGAACTTTGACCCTCCGGTAGACCCGGAAGTAAAGGTCAAGCGAGTTTACGTACAGACAAAAAATGTTTATCAATTTATAGTCTATCTGATTACAAGGTTGGAGCATAATTGATCATTTTTGATTCATAGAGTTTATTATTTTCTCAAAGTTAACAACCACGGTAAGGGGGTGCAATTTATTACTGGACATAATAGTTTTAGCCTGAACTATTTCCATTGCACTACGAAAGCTATACACAAAATGGCCACAAAAAGTGAATAAAAACTACCTTAATTAATGTCAATATATTTACGTTCTATAATTCTTTAAAAAAGAATGGAAAATTCAGGTCGTTCGTATCATATGCACAACGCTAGTCAAGACGGGAAGCTGGCCAAAACTCCGAAGTGTGTGATGCACTGTGCATGTGTGGCCCGCGGCCAACAGACCCCGTTTAACGGTCGAAAATTTCGGGAAACACGCTGCATTGTATCACTCCAATTACGAGTAGTGAGATCTCAAAATGAACTCTTGAACACGGAAAATACATACACAGACAACCTAGATCAATTCTGTGAATTAACTTGCAAAAAATGTTCTTTCTCCATTGGTGTTTTCTTGGCATTTTTACGATGTCGGATCCGACCAGTTGACAGTGCACATACTTGCAATGCAGAGCCATGCTACTATGATCACGTAGGTGTGCACAGACTCGTTACCGCATTTTCATCATGTCTTCTAAATTGGCGCGGAGGGAACCAGTCATCGCCGCATTGGGCTGGGTTTACGCACATATGATTATAGTCACCGTGACATCGAATTGCGAAGTAGTTATATCACGAAGCGAATTTGTAAAAATAATGGTTTCTTTTGAAAAATAGGCCTCATAATCTACAACTGAAGTTCATGGAATACAACATGCAATAAAAGTTAGCCTTGGCCCCGAAGCCTATGTTTAGAGTCAAAAAAATTAAACCTGGCGGCTGGATTTTA